GTGTAATCACCACTCCTGAGAACAGTAACCTGTTCAAGAATGTTCCCAGAGGTTTTAGATCGGATCGCAGATGCGCGCGCGTAGCATTGTTCCTGTGAATGCTTACAATTCGGTGGGAACAAGCAACGGGCAATGGCAGGTGCGGTTTTTTGGTCAACCAATTCGAGCTTACGTTAACAACTCGAAAGAAATGTTCTTGCATCTTACAGTGCAGTTATCTTAAGTGGCGGTTCAAAGACCTGAAACTTTTGTACAAAATAAATTACATTTGAATAAGCAAGCAAAAGAACGTGATAAGATCAGTTTCATTCGACAAGTTTCATTGAGTTTTTGCGTTGCCTGTTATCTAATAATGAATCAGATTAGAGAATAATGAATATTCTAATAATGAAATAAATTACGACCAGCTGAACTCGTGCGAACATTCCTCATTTGGTAAACTGTATTTGAAAGTGAAAATATCATTTTATATCTATATTTGAACTGTCAGAATCTGAATAGTGCATTGTTAATATATTAGTTTTTCTCAAGGAATAAAATACAGTTGATGAAAGAAAGGACGCGGGAGGTAGAAATAATTCGTAATGGAACCCCACGGAAACAGTTGTCACACATAAATAAGCATTTGGAACAATGAATATAATGGAACATTGTCTACGATAAAGTATTTTATCTAATTTACAGAATGTTTCAGTATAAAAAATATCATATTGGCTGAAAAATTTGTAACAGGGCTATACATTACGATTTATATTAACGAATTACGGTATTTAAGTTGAAAATTAAATTGTATAAACATTATATTATTTTATTATATTTGTCAGGATGGACATTCATTTACAGCTTATAGCCATTTCTCCACTAGCAAAATGAAGATCTGTAACTCAACCCCAACCCTCTAGCAATTAGAGATAGTTCATCATGGCTCTTAATGGGTTCTAATCACACAACTTCTACGTGATTAAAACCTTCATTCATTTAAGTAGAATCTGAGTGAATGCACAATGTTTCCCACTCCAGACTCAAACCTTCCTTCGCGCCTCCTCCCCATAATAAGGCCTTTGTACTCCGCGATATCCTGCACGATTACGGCAAGTACTACTACTACTTCTCGGAGGAAGAAACAGCATTTCTGCGTCGTGTTTTTATCAGAGCCTACACGCGCGCGGAAAACAGAGTTCGAAGTTGCCCGCGCCGCCTTCGCGGCACCCGTTCGGTCGTTTGACTTACTACCTACCCGTGAAAGGGAAAGCAAGGGACGAGGTTCTGGCGGTCAACAACGTCCACGTCCTGTTTTCCGGCACTTCAGCAGTTTATGACGGAGGGAAACAATTGCAAACGTACCTACGGCGGCGGCGGCGGCGGGCTTTGTATAGTGAGGATGGGGGAGACCGCTTCGGGGGCCTGCAATCCACGTACCTAAACTGCCAGGAAGTTTCGGGCGCGATGACATCGGTTGCCGAATTCGCAGAAGCGGCTAAGAAGGAACAGTCGCTTGTCCTGCACCGACACGTTCACTGCTCTTCATGAGCTCCGCCGGACACGCCGAACAAGGGTCAACAGACTCTCATGACCGGGAGGAACGAGCTTGGGAGGGTAGGAAGAGTTTAATTGACCGCATTCTAGTAATCAATTAGTAGAATATCTTTTAAAAGAAACATCATTTGATGTTGGATTCATTATGTAAATTGCAGTAAAATTATGATACAACTACATCACAGTATTATTTATTGGATACAGAAATTTAGTGTTCTTAAACTCACAGCTTTGTTAGAGTGCCGAAAAAATATATTCATGATACGCTGAAATATTATTATTAACTGGATAACCGGATTTTACGTAACTTAATTACGCCATTGTAAGATGTGTACAACATGTTGCTACCACAATAAATAAATATGGTTTATTTCCGTCTTCTAGTACAAAGTTCAGAAGCCCCTTTTTCTTTAACCTTCTGTATGGCAATTTTCCGGCAACATAACATGCCAGCGTGCAAATTCATCAGCAGTCCCGAAATGTAAAGTTGTTTTTCTTGTATCAAGATCTTTTTACTTTCGCCGTACTAATACAAATACAAGGTCGCGAAGTGCGGACATCTCATTTCATGTGTAGCTAAGCATCTACGCGTATGTGTCAAGGTTGATATAACCAATTAGGCAGAACGTCATCCCAGGCTTTACAATATTAATTTAACGACTCCCCATGATCACGAAGAACTTTTAAGACGAAACTGAGATCAAATTGGAAGAAACATAATAGCAATAATATATTTTGAAGTTATCTAAATGTCTTGAAATAAAACAACAAGGAGATCAACTAAACTATTCAGTTCCAAACTCTCAAAATATTAAATAATAAAAACGGTCCTCGGAAATATTTAATAAATGAGGTTCAAGATGAATAGTGAGTGTGTGTGTGAGTGTGTGTGTGTGAGCGTGAGCGTGTGAGCGTGAGCGTGAGTGTGTGAGCGTGAATGTGTGAGTGTGTGAGAGTGTGTGTGAGTGTGAATGTGTGAGTGTGAATGTGTGAGTGTGAATGTGTGTGAGTGTGAATGTGTGTGAGTGTGAATGTGTGTGAGTGTGTGTGTGAGTGTGTGTGTGTGTGTGAGTGTGTGAGTGTGTGTGTGAGTGTGTGTGTGTGAGTGTGTGTGTAAGTGTGTGTGTGAGTGTGTGTGAGAGTGTGTGTGAGAGTGTGTGTGAGAGTGTGTGTGAGGGTGTGTGTGTGAGTGTGTGTGAGAGTGTGTGTGAGAGTGTGTGTGTGAGAGTGTGTGTGAGAGTGTGTGAGAGTGTGTGTGAGAGTGAATGAGAGTGTGTGAGAGTGTGTGAGAGTGTCTGTGAGTGTGTCTGTGAGTGTGTGTGAGAGTGAGTATGTGAGTGTGTGAGTGATCACCGTCATGCTGTGTTCATCAAGGGAGATAATATCAGAAACAAGTTCACATTGATTCCAGTTACAGTCGCTATCGGGGATATTAACACGTCACTTTACCCATTGTGTAGTCTAATACAAGTATGAACTTGCGCCTGGTTTCGAATTCTCTAATAAACGAAGTAATCTCCGTCTAATGAATGAAGGAACAACCAAAGATTATGTATATACATAGATATGTATATATAACTACTCAACCGTAAGGATTCCAAAAGATTACTTTTCGCCTGTTTCAATTCTTCGGAAGATTGTGCCCCTTGTCTCTTTTTCCTCCTCTCTGAAGATCCAGTACATTTTCGTTTAAAAATTAATTTGTGAAATAATTTATCTCGAACATTATATGATTACTCCGAAGTACACTGCGCTTCTTTAGAAAGTAAAATTTATTTTGTTAAATAGAATCGCAGACACGTTTCGCAGTTAAAAGTTTTCTTTTCAAGTTTTCTTTTCAAAGTTTTCACGCAAAACCACCGTCTACCTCTGGGTTTCGTTATATGATAATGCAACATCAATCAGACCGGGTTTTCTCTGATACTGCAGATGCACGTGTGACATTAACCAACTTATCACATTTCCTTATCTCGCGAGATAACGACTCTGACCGGATAAGTACAATATATTCAGTATATCTCCACTGAATCGGTGATCGACATTCTCTGTGTTCACCATTTATACGTAGTTTTTCCCCAAAACAAAAACAAAACACGAACAAAAAATTATTTACGAAGATTCAAACTAACGAACGATTCTACATTGAAAAATTCTGAAATTACAATGACATGGTCGTTTCAAAATCTCAAAAAAGTTTATTTAATTATAACACACGAGACAAATAAGCACGTCAGTCACGAGTTAAACCAGTTAAATAATTCAAATGCTCCAGAAGTTCATGTAAACCAGTTACTCTGAACAGACAAAAAGCATTCCAAGCGAACAGCACTTTATAACGCTACTTTTCTTCTTCTACAACCAGTGTCCACGAGAAAGCAAGAAAAAAGCAGACAAGCTACGAAGCAACAGCCGTCCAGCCGTTCACGCCCTGCTCCATTTGCGTCCTCCTCTTTCTCCGCGGTGAATGCGGCGGCGGTGAGGCTGGGGCCGCCTCGCGAGCGCCCCATAATCCGATACACTTTACGGCGGCGATCGTTCATTCGGTGACTCGCGCCGCGGTCCGCGGTTCGAGCTGTGGGAACGCCACGGGCGCCCGCGGCACCGCGGTTTACGGCCTCTAGCCCCACTCCGCGTGCGGCGCGGCGTGCCTCGGCGAAAGCCATTACGAAACACTGCGCGCGGGCAGAGGCGGTGGGGACGGTCGTATAATTGGTTGATGATGTTGATAGCCCAGATGATAGCGGCAGCAGTGATTCTGACTGTGGTGATGGTGGTGATGGTGGTGGTGGTGGTGATGGTGGTGGTGTTGATGGTGATTATAGTGGTGGTGTTGATGGTGATTATAGTGGCGGTGTTGATGGTGATTATAGTGGCGGTGTTGATGGTGATTATAG